TGATTCACAAAAGGATAATGAGAAAAAAGGAGAAAATCAAGCGAAAAACGACGAAGGAAAACTGAAAAATCCTCGTTGTTATAACTGTAACAAACTAGGGCACATCGCTTCTGACTGTCGTCAACCTAAGCGCGAGAAGGGCTCGTGTTTCAAGTGTGGTGAGATGGGCCACATATCCAAGGACTGTCCAACGAAGACTACGTCATCAACGGAGGTTGCAGTTGTCAACGAGAAGGAAAATCCAGTCTACTCCATCTTCGGCTGCGAGGAGGACGAAGAGACATTTTTTAAAGACGTCGACTACGAAATAAACTGCACAAGTCTTCCCGATACAAATCATAAGATTAGATTAAACACGCTAATGGATTCAGGTAGTAAAGTCAGTTTTATAAAAGAGAGTTTCGCGTTGAAAGAAGCAGTAGAATCTTTCGGTACACACTCGGGAAATTATCATGGTATAAACTACTCACCGTTACGGATTATCGGGTATATACGGCTGAATATCACTATCGATAACGAAACAAAAAATAATATAACAACACTAGTTGTTCCGGATACGACTATGGTATACCCGGTAGTGTTAGGTCGCGACGTATTGAAGAAATTCGGTCTGGGTCTGAGGAAACTGGAAGTTCAAGTGATAGATGAGCTGTTGAACGTAGAAGTAGATAATCCGCGCGACACGGCATTAGATTCTCTTGGTATCAATCCCGAAATATCTCGTGAAGCACAGATTAGTTTGCGAGAACTCTTTAGGTCGGAATACGTTGAGCCCGCAAGGTCTATTAGTCCAAAAGTCGACATGGAGTTAAAATTAAGCCTGACGAATGAAACCCCATTCCACTTTAACCCACGTCGAGTCTCCGTTTCTGAAAAGGAAAAGTTGAGGAAAATATTAGACGATCTCCTGGAGAGGAAAATCATTCAGCCTAGTAAATCCGAATATGTTTCCCCTATTATTCTAGTAAAGAAAAAGAATGATGAACTCCGACTTTGTGTGGATTATCGTGTGTTAAACAAAGTCCTGCGTCGCGATAATTATCCTCTTCCGTTAATAGAGGACCAAATTGACGTACTTAGAGATAAAAAGTATTTCAGTATTCTTGATCTGAAAGACGGGTTCTTTCATATTCGAATCGCGGATGAATCGATAAAATATACTGCATTTACGACACCGTACGGGATTTTCGAATATAGAAGAATGCCTTTCGGACTCAAAGTAGGACCGTCGAGATTTCAGAGATTTGTAAACGAAGCGTTAGTAGAATTGATTAGATCCGGAGACATTGTCGTATACATGGACGATGTATTGGTCGCAACCGTTACGTTAGAGCATCACTTTAAGGTCTTAAAGCAGTTGTTCAAGTGCTTAGTTGATAATCTGTTGGAGCTCCGACTCGATAAATGTCAGTTTTTATGCACAGAGATAGAGTTCTTAGGTTATCGTATCTCTAAAATCGGAATTCAGCCAAACAAGTCAGGGATTGAGACAATCGAGAAATATCCAATTCCACAAAATTTGAAAAGTCTGCAATGTTTCCTCGGGATGGCTTCGTATTTTCGAAAATTTATTGAAGGTTTCTCCGTTATCGCAAAACCACTTCATGAATTACTCCGTAAAAACGTGGAATTTAAGTTTGGGAAAGAACAACTAAAAGCGTTTCAGATACTTAAGCGAAAACTGCAGGAAGCACCTGTACTTAGTATATACAGTCCTCATGATGAGACGGAACTTCATACAGATGCTAGTTCGCACGGTTTTGGCGCCTCTCTTATGCAAAAGAAAACAGATATGAAGTTTCACCCGGTCTCGTATTTTTCAAAACGGGCGACCGATACTGAAAGCCGCTATCATAGTTTTGAATTAGAAACGCTCGCAGTTATCTATGCACTTCGCCGATTTCGCATCTACTTGCATGGCATTAAGTTTAAGATCGTTACGGATTGTGCGTCGTTGAAAATGACTTTAGATAAGAAGGATGTGTGTCCACGAATAGAAAGGTGGGCTGTCGAGCTTATGGAATATGATTATACTCTGGAACACAGAGCCGGCACCAAAATGCAACACGTAGACGCTCTCAGCCGCGCCACAAACATCCTGGTTATTGAGGATAACCCACTCGAGTTAGAACTAGCGTTAAGTCAAAATCGCGATCCCAAAATCCGAGAACTACGAGGGAAACTTGAGAAATCTCAAGATAGACAATACGAGATGCGAAATGGACTCGTATACCGAAAAAGAGATGGCGAGTTACGGTTCTATGTACCGGAAAAAATGGAAAGTCATGTATTGCGAAAGTATCATGACGAAATGGGACATTTCGGTCCAGAAAAAACGTGCGGCGCGATAGATAAGACCTATTGGTTTCCGCAAATGCGTATTAAGGTTAAGAATCATGTTCGAAATTGTTTAAAATGTATTGCGTTTACTCCATCTACAGGCAAGTCTGAAGGATTTCTGCATAGTATACCTAAAGGTAATGTACCGTTTCAGACATTTCACATCGACCATATGGGACCTATAGATCGAAGACACTTGATCAAACAACACATTTTAGTGATCGTCGATGCATTCACGAAGTACATTAAATTGTATGCTACTAAGACTACAACTTCAAGGGAATCCATCGATTGTCTAAGGCAGCATTTCGCTAACTATAGCCGCCCTCATACTATAGTGAGCGATAGAGGGACTTGTTTCACCTCAAATGAGTTTGAAGAATTTCTCAAGGAAAATAACATTCGACACGTGTTGATAGCTACGGGATCTCCTAAAGCGAATGGGCAGGTAGAACGAATTAACCGTGTGTTAGGCCCGCTCCTTGCCAAAGTAGTTGATAATAATGCCGGAAAGTATTGGTATAAGGCGCTAGCGGAAGCAGAATTCGCGATCAACAACACGATAAATAAATCCACGGGAGATACACCAAGTCGTTTATTGTTTGGAGTCGACCAGCGAGGCCCGAGCATTGATGGAATCAAGGAGTACTTAGAGGAAAAGGCTACACCAGAAACCCGTGATCTCGAAGTGATACGCGAAAGGGCCGCTAAGAATATTTCAAAGAATCAAGAATACAATCAGCGTTACTTTGACAAGAGTAGAAAAGAGCCACGTCAGTACAAGGAAGGTGATTACGTGGGGATCCGAAATTTTGATAATACTCCGGGGGCGCCGAAGAAACTCATCCCCGAGTTCAAAGGACCTTATGAGGTATATAAGATTCTCAGAAATGATAGATACATAATTAGAGATGTAGAGAATTACCAAACATCACGTCGCCCTTACGAAGGAACATGGGAAGCTTGCAACATTAGACCCTGGCGTGACGAAATCGCCTGACTATACCTAAAACACTTATCAGAGACCAAAGATTAGTTGATAAGCAGTAGTTAAGATTGTTTTGTACTTATTCATTATACTCTATTATCTTGTTTGTACTACCGTGTCCGAGGCCGGACAAGTGATCAGGAAAGGCCGAATTGTGAGATGAACGTGATACCAAAGAAAAACCAAATTACGCGCCCAGATTATTGTAGGGTACATGACCCTGGTACGCCATGGAAGGCGGGGGCGCTGGCAAGACAAGAGGGTAGTGTTGCGTCAGCGTGGCGTCAGTCGGCATATATACACGAGGGAGAGCGCGCGCGGGAAGAAGCGACCACGTGTGTCGAGGTAGCGTGGCGTCGGTCCGGCCGCACAGTTTTAAGTGTACCTCTATCAAATAAATAATGTTCTCATTAAGTCGAAGTACATGATTATTGCCGCTCGACAATCCTTACAAAATGATTAAAAACGATCTTATATCGCTATCTTATTGTCGCTCTCATATTCAAAATTAAAATATAAATTTCACAACATTATAAAAATGTATTTCTTATGGAATAATTGCTTAATTTTATTTTAAGAAAAAAGACAATTTTGCTGCATAGTTTCAACATATAAAACAATAATTAAAATTTATCATAAAATTAAATGCGGAATTTGAATTAAAATTTTAAATAAAAAGTTAAAGTGTTAAATTTGAACTGAATTTTTAAATACATATTTTTATCTATATGTTTTTGTCTATGTATTTTTATCTCTTTAATATACCGAATAAGTATAATAATAAATATAATAAAATATATATTTAATAATAATAATAATAATTATTATTATTATTATGCATATGTATATGTTTAATAATAATAATAACTACGTATATTTAATAATAATAATAAATCCATATCACATAAATTGATTCACAGCTTTTAAGAGGATGCCGAGGTCCTGTTTGATCGTTCAAATGTCATTCCAGACACACATGTCTAAAAAACATCTAAAAGACGACTTAAAGACGTCTTAAAGTCTTCTAGATGTCTTTAAGACATCTTTTGGCCTCTTTGTGCTGTTTAGAATATTTCTTTTTGTATCGGGATCTTTTTATTAGTTGTACAGAATAATAAATGTTTCTCCACGATTAAAATATGTATAGAAACAGAACTCCGGCATTCTCTTAACTTACTTTAAATTGTATATATTTAAATGCATATATTTAAGTGAAATTGTATATATTATATTAGGTCTTCGATACGGTTCATCTAAACCGACTGACGTGTATGTACGGATGACCGACGTATATCTACGTGTATGTACAGATCAATTTATTATTAGCAATTATCAAATGCGTCACTAATTTTTTGCATAATAAAAAGATTGATGGATAAAATAAAACGTACTCTGCATACATATACATATATATGTGTAGAGAAATAAAATGATGATGCATTAATAAATGGCATATAATATTACTATTACTCGCAGTTGTATTCTTACTTTCGCACGATCTACTTATTTTCTCTTTTTCCCTCTTCCTTTCTCTCTCTCTCTATACATAAATATATATATATATATATATATATATATATATAATAATTTATATATACATATATATATAATATAATATATATAATATAATATATATAATATAATATAATATAATATATATAATATAATTTAATATAATATGTATTCCTATACATCGCGACATTTTCATATAGTCCATTTTTTCTTATTATTTACTAAACTACTGATGGATAGTGTGAAGTTGATTGGGACCGTGTATTTGATAGTGTTGTGCTGTTATCTCTCTACACTAATAGATGTCAATCAACGCGAGCCAAGTACATTCACGGAAAGAATATCTTGGATTTGGCCGAACAATATCAAAGTCAATCGCGATGTAGTTTTCGATACGGTAAGTGTGGCTTTACAACTCATTGAAATTAGGATGGAAATTTTTATTATTTAAATAGTTTTCTTCAACGTTGTTAAAATACGATTGGAAACGATCTTATCGCCGCTCTTTTATTGAAAATTTGAATTTAAATTTCACAAAATATACATCATCGTTAATTATGCCTGTAATAATATTTAAATAGTTTTTTAATTTTTACAGCTGTTTTAATATTCAATTGTTGGTATCGTTTAATTATTATAAAATTCTTTTGTTTTAAAAATATGCAGTAATATGTGAAATATTAAATAAATTTGTGAGCATATAAACGTTATGCTTGCCCATATACACACACACACACATACACGCACACAGAAAGAAAAATTGCTGAAATTAATCTGCTTATTTTTAAATGCATATAGAAAACAAAGAAAGTAAAATATCTCTTAAAAGAAGACAGTTAGCAGTTTTATTTATATATAAATAATGACAGTCAGTGATATTATATTTTATAACATTTATAAATGTTGATAATCTTAATGAGACAATATGTTATTTTTCGAACTAATTCTCTTTCGAAAACTGTACAATTTCAAAAATATTTTAAATTTATCTTGTATATCATTAGAATTGAAGCAAACAACATCTAATTCAATGTATGTAATAAATGTACATAGACGTTTATGTAAATTAAATGTTACATAGTTGCATATAAAAGTAGTGTTACGTCAAATGTTTTTGTTCCATTAATCTTTGAAATATTGCGATAAACTTCTGTAAATTCTTCGGTTCTAAGTATTTTGTACAACCACATAACATCTTTATATTTATTTATTTTTATTAAAATAAAATGTATATCTTTCCTCGTTGAAATATGTTGGCCCTATTTCATTAGTTTTTCAGTTACATATTATAGTTTTTATACTCTTAATTTTAATCTCACTATACATATTGTCAGTTTTATATCAAATTTTATTTTTTACTGCATATACCGACTGAATTATTGTACTGTACTGTCATTTCGATCTGCGCTCTATATGCTGGCCTTTTAATTGTTTTATTTTATCTTTAAATTTTTCATTTTAATTGTAATGGTGCAAAATGATCTATAAATAACAATATAATCTTTTACAATTTCTTTTTAAAATAATTTTTATTGTTTTCTAATTTATCATGCAAAAAATTTTCTTCCTATAATTTATACAACTCATAATTATACATTTAATTAGATTAATGTTTAGTTGATTATGTTCTGTATCTCATATGTATCTACTTTTGTTATTATGATATGATATTGATAATTATTCTTTATATTAATTATATATTGATATTTTATATTTATTTTATTATTTTAAAAATGTCTCTTTTATCATTTCAAAAATAAATATTATAATCACTTTTTCGTAAATGTATTGTAACATTAGATCAACTTCACTAACTCTTTGTTTACTGATTCTTTTTTTCAGTCGGAAATGATAAGGAAAGCGGGTTATCCCGTGGAAACTCATGTTATAACGACCGAGGATGGATATCTCTTAACATTACATCGTATCCCAGGTGATAATGGCTCTCTACCTGTACTATTGCAACCCGGTTTTCTTGCAACATCCGCTATTTGGATTTTTCTTGGTAAAGGGAAAGGATTAGGTAACACTCTTTTAATTAATCCTTATATATATATATATATATATATATATATCTTATATATATATATATATATATATATATATATATAAGAAATTATATTGTTGGCTTTTAACGGAAAACGAAAGGCTAGGAGAAAATAAGAAGTTTAAGAGAAACTACGGAATTTAAATGTCAAAAAAAATTTGCCAATGCATTCTAATTATAATACAACTTTTAACGCATCTTATTTTTTGAAAATTTTTTACATTTATCAGATTTTATACACATGTATATTTATTTATCTATTGTATTTATTTTATTTATCTATTTATTTTATTTTATTTATTTATTATATTTATTTATCTATTTATTTATCTATTTATTTATTTATTCATGTACATACTTATATTTTATATAATTGCATGTTATATATTTAGAATTAATTATTTCACTTATCAGACAATAATTAGTAAATTACACATCAATAGAATCTTAATTTATTATTGAAAAAATATATTAGCACATAAACATATCGTAAAATATATATGAGGATATTATATATGAGAAGATAGAAATGTTAACAAAACAACGTTGCAACGTATTGTTTCTTTTTGCATTCTAGCTTACATATTAGCGGATCACGGATATGATGTTTGGTTGGGTAATTTTCGTGGTAATATTTATTCCAGGGCGCATATTTCCCTATCTCCATCAAACTCGACATTTTGGGATTTCAGGTATTCGCATAAAATAAAAATAATGATATTTAGAAAATTTTATAATGATAATTAGTTAATTTAATTTGGCGTCAAACACAAAGATCTGATGAACTTATATATGTTTATTTATATATTTTATTTACTTATATATATCTGTGTGCAATTATTTTAGATTGCATTGATCTAGAAATAGTCTCTATATAATAGATTATAAGCATACAAAGTATAGATAGAAAACAGATAAGTAGATTATATTTTTTTGTTAATAAGATACATATTTCTTTTTGACAAAAAAAAATAAATTTTTTTTTGTCAAAAAGAAATATGTATCTTATTAACAAAAAATACATTATTTTTTAATATATTAATATAATTTTTAATAGATTAGTATATTAATTTTGCATTTTCTTCCATTTATGTGTTCGAATAAATTTCGACAATTCTCTTATAATTAATTTTAATATTTTACTTAATTATTAAAATTCTTACGAATTTTATATAAAGTGTTCATATAAAGAACCAGAAAACGCTCTATATTTACACACAAAAAATAATTATCTCGAAAACGTTGCATGCTTCGGAAATTTTCCAAAGGAAAAAGATGTTTGTTTCTAGATAAAAAATATAAAAATATCAAAATCTGTAGTTTGTTTGTGACGCGTCTCATATTACATAAATATAAACATTATATTACATATATGTGAGAATATATTTTTATTATATATTATACTATACTATACTATATATTAGGACGATATATAATGCATATTTGCATATTTTATGACTATACATATATCGATTAATTTTTGATTAGCCTTAACGAATTGGGCATCTACGATTTACCCACGATGATTACATATATTACAAATATGAGATCGCAACCATTGCATACCTACATTGGTATATCTATGGGCTCAACTTGTTTCTATATAATGGCGACAGAACATCCGGAAATCGCTCAAATGGTGAAAGTGATGATCAGTCTCGCACCAACAGTTTTTCTTAACCATATGACAAGTCCGATACAATATTTGTTTTTCTTGAAAGATTACAAAGTAAGATACTATTAATTAATTAAAATAATTTATTATCACGTAATAATTATATGAAATAATATATTTTTAGCAAAACAAAGAAAAATAATTATTTTACATCTCGTTCTTACACGATGCACGCTATATAATTTAAAGTGAAAAAATAGAGTGACATAAATGATATGACATAATTCTTTAATTTTAGATGCAATTAAAGTAATTAAATAATACAAATTACATTTTTGAATAATATTAAAGCCTGAATGGAATTTATTTTAATATAAATTTAATTTGTGATTAATTAATGTTATACGTTAAAAAATTTAACAAAAAATTTTCTCTGTCATTAAGAATAATACGGGAACTATACTACATTCTATATATGAAAAATGTATATTTAAGAAAGATTAAAGAAAGTTATTTTATAAAATGTGCATTTCATTATTTGAATAAAATTTAGAAGATATCTATGTTGGATCTTTCGAAAAAATGCAGAAAAAATCAAACGTAAATATCTTCTTAACATTATATATCTTATTTCTGATTGCCTCGTACACAATTGTAGTTTTAAATGTTAACGAGAAATTTTTCGATAATTTAAAATTATAATTAAAGAAATTTTTATAAATTATTTCAATCTTATAAGAGAAAATGCTTAAAAATTTATTTATTTTTTTTTTATTATTACTGTCGAAATCTAAAGAAAGACATAATTACAAGTAAATTATTATTAATAAATCTTCTATTTCAGATGATAATGGGATTTTTTTTTCACAAATTTCTGCTAAGCAATTTTGTGAGATCTTTTTTAATATATGGCAGCGAGCAGAACATACTCAAAGATATCTACGTCAACTTGTTTTCTATACTTTTCGGTTACGATCACGAGCAGTTTGATTACGTGAGTAATAATTTCGCAAATGTATGCATATCGCAAACGAAGTACAATTTTATATCATGATGATCGAAGCTTCGATCATCATGTTCGATTAGAGCGATCACGCTTTAGATTAAACTTTGTATGTATGTTTTTATTAGTTTTTATTTATTAACATTTGTTTGCTTTTTATAGCATCTGCTACCGTTGATATTGAGTCATTTCCCAGCCGGCGGTTCGTTTAATATAGGGGTGCATTATATACAGTTATTTCAGTCGGGCAAATTTCGTCAATACGATTATGGTCGTGCGAAAAACATACTGATCTATAATTCGATAGAACCTCCGGAGTACAATCTAACAAATATAACGATTCCGATCGCGTTATTTTATGGCCCTGGCGACTTGCTGGATAACACCATGGTAAATAACGAAAAAATAGATAATAAGAATATAGTTATAATAAATATAAAAAAAACACGTATTGATTATTTTACATTAATTGTGTGCAAGTATATAGAAATTTGCACATAGAATTGAACAGATAATTTTAGAAAATCGCATGTTATAATTCACAAAAATATTTCTTCAAGCATATAAGGAGGTTGTACCATTTACTGCCCAACGTAGTGGACATTTATCAAGTACCGTGGCGCAATTTCAATCACGTAGACTTTGTAGTTGCTAAGGATGCGCCAAAACTCGTATACGAAAGAGTCCTCAAAATCATGAGGATGGAGAATTCAAATAACATTACATCAATAATCAAAGATGAATGTTACGCGTTAAATCTTTATAATAATGGATACGATTGATGGCTGTAATCGCAAGTCTATTGAAATTTATTTTAAAATATGCATTTATAAAATATTAATAAGAATTATCAGAGACTTACAAGTAAACCTACAGAAGTGTCACTTATCGATTTTAATGAAACTTTGCACATTTGTAGAACTATGAAAAATATTTGATACGTATTTTTTTTTATCACCCAAGGTTTTTTCTGGAGGGTTGAAACTATCCTTTGAATGTAGAGGGTGGATTTTATGCACCAGGTGGAATAAATTGAATGTTTTAAGAAATTAAATACTTATAACTTTGTGTGTTTTTGGGATCGCTGAAACTAAATCTGATGTTAATATTATTGAAAATGGCCGATCCAATATGGCCACCAAATATATAAAAAAGTGTTCTGGTCGGCTTTGTAGGGTATGGAAATATTGTAAAAAAAATGTTAAATTTGAATTTTGGTGTTTCTCAAGCAGTTATATTTGAAGAGTTGTTTCAACCCTTCAGAGCGAACTTCGGCCGATAAAAAAAATACATACCAAATATTTTTCATAGTTCTACAAATGAACAAAGTTTCATGAAAATCGGTGAGTAACATTTCCGTAAGTTTACTAGTCTACTTTTAAGCAATCAATTTAGTGAGTTTTAGGTTTATTGGATCGTAACGAAACTATTATATTCTACTATATTATATTATACTTAATACTTTGCTATAATTATATATCTTTCCTACAATAATTGTATATATATATAGTAGTAGTAGTAGTAGTAATTTATTTTGTTCTGCTTAGAGTTACAAACTGTATATAACCAATTACCTTAGAGTTACAAAATGTATTAACCAATTACAAAAAACATCTCGCTATATAAAAAATATCCACAAACATTTCTCTTAACCTAAAACTTAATCTACTTCCTTATCCTAATTCTTATTCTAGCTCAGTGAGGGAGTTCGGTGGAGATGTTTTCCCGAATATTTCAGGTTACCCATCTTCTCCCTCCCTCCCCAACCTACACACACACACACACACACACACACACACACACACACACACACACACGCCTTCAACAAAATATTGGACTTCCGTTTCCTCTTGCTTCTGTTATATTCAATTATATTCTGTTATATTCTTTCTCACCCTTCGTTTCCATCCCTATCCCCACATCCATCCTTCATCCATCCATCCATCCATTTTTCCTCACTCATCCCTGTCCTCACCTCCCTCCCTCTTTTTTTTCCGTCACCTCCTTCCTCTCTACTCCTTCCCTCTCCTTACTTACTTCTTTCTCTCTCCAACTCCCTCATCTATTCCTCCCCCTCCCCCTACTCCCTCAATATTCTATCCACATTCTCCTGCCAGTACCCCTTTCTCTCTTCTCTACAACCCTCTCACATATGCTCCCATGTCTCCTCACCTTCTCCACATAGCTTCCTACATAACTTCCTCTCCTCCTCCTCTCAATATCTACTTTTTCTTACCTCCTCTCCTATTCTAAACCTCTTCCATCTACTTTCCCCCCATCCTTTTTTCAGGTATCTCGGTATGCCCTCCCCCTTTACCTTTTCATACCATCTATTGTATCTCGCCCCCTATATTCTTTCTCTTCTTTCTCTCCTCTGAATTTCTCTGTCCCTTTCCTCCATTTCTCCGTACCAATTCTCCTCCTTCTCCTTTCTTCTCTCTAGTGATTCTATCTCCACCCCCCTTCCCTCGAAAAAATTCCTCCTTTCCTTCTCCCAGCTTGAATTCCACCCTCCTCTGCCGCATCTTTCTCTCATCTCCTCCATACACTTTCTCGCTAATTCACTCCCCTTCCCCTCCCTTAACCTCTTCTCCCAACCCCCACGCCCTCCTTCCTGCTTTTGTTCTCAGCTTCTCTCTCTGTAATTCTTCCCTTACCAAATATCCTGGCGTCCTCCCTTCCAGCCCCTATAGCCACCTTAGATATCTTTCCTCCATCCTTTCTATCCTGTCCCTTTCCTTCCATCCCCATACTTCAACTCCATACCCTAACACCGTCCATACTAGCCTATCAAAGATCCATAATCTCCTAGCCCAATCTCTTCCGAATCTTCTCTTCCCTATTCCCCATACCTGCCCCATTACCGCCATTGCTCTTTTACCTTATCCCTCACCTGTGCATCCCCGTTCCTTTGTATTACATACCCCAAATACTTGAACTCCTTTACTTCTTCCAACTCTCTTCCTTTCCATCTCCATAGCTTCTTCTTCATTCTACCCCCTTCCTCCTAAACCTCATTATCTTAGTCTTCTCAGTATTCACCTCCAATCCTTTCCTCTCCATGTACTCTTCCAGTCTCTCAATCATGTTCCTCATCCCTCCCTCATCCTCTGCTAATAACACTATATCATCAGCATACGCTAATGTGTACACCCTTCCTTTCACCCTTCCCATTTCCTCCTCTAGGTCTGCCATCAACAGATTAAACATTCAATGGACATCCTTGCCTTAACCCTCTCGCTGTCCAAAAACTCTCACTTTCCTCCCCCACCATTCTTACTCTACTTCTTGTTTCCCCCATCATCTTCTCCATCGTCCTTATCAAGCTCTCTCTCACCCCCTCTCTCCCTCAACGTCTCTATCATTACCCCTCTATCCACAGAATCAAAAGCCGCCCTTAGATCCACAAACATCGCCATCATTCCCCTCCCTTTCCTCCCCACTTGTCACCCTATCAAATAATTCAACACATAGACGTTGTCCATCATTCCCATCCCATTTCTAAAACCCATCTGATTGTGCGGTATCATTCGTTTTCTCTCCATCTCCTCTCTCAATCTCTCCGCCAACATCGCCACGTACATTTTATATATTCATATATATATATGTATATATATATATATTATATATATATATTACATACATATATATATATATATATATTTATATTATATGTATGTGTGTGTGTGTGTGTGTGTGTGTGTGTGCGCGCGCGCGTGTGTGTGTGTAAAAATTTACATATTTGACAGCGCAAACATAATTATAGTTACATAGACATTTGTTACATTTGTTTGTGTAGACACAAATATAAATACGCAGGAATATTCCTTACATGTATAATGATAATTATACGTGTGTGTGTGTGTGTGTGTGTGTGTGTGTGTGTGTGTGTGTGTGTGTATGTATGTATGTATGTATGTATGTATACAATAATTATGTACTATAGAACTATAGAGTTATAGATATACATACTTATATATAATTATGTACATAAATAATTTTTTTCTGCGTAATTATAACTTGTATGAATAGATTAGAAGAATAAGGTTTAGATGTTGCATAGAAGTAGGAAAAGAGTAATATCATATTTGTAAAAAAATTGGAAATATATTTTAAGTTGTGGGAGAAGATACTATATATGTTGATGCTGCCTTATAAATAATATTTATTACGATACGCAACAAACTTGTATTAAACTTTTATGATAATTATATTATTATTATTTACTTATTACATATTTTATATATATATATATATATATATATATATATATATATGTTTAATTTATGAAATTTTTAATTTCTTTTTTTTCTCTTTAAACCTAGTAATGGCTAAATTTCACTTTAAATTTCATTTTATTTAAGATAGAAATCTAATACAATGACAGAATTGCAGCATGTTTTATTTTAATTAAATGTGAACTTCTAAAATTTTCTTTGATTCTTCATAGGTAAAACAAAATTTTATTATATAATAAAAAATAATGCAATAATAATGAAATCTATAATAGTAAATATGTAATGATAAAAACTTAATTAAATGAATAATTTTGACGTATAATATATAGTAATATACCGGATGACAATTAATAAATGATTTAGTAGTACAAAAGTGTAGTTGGCCTAGAAGAATTCACATATTTTTATAATTGAAATTAATTACAGGTATATATTCGCAAACTTTGTAAAAATTATATGTATTATAATGTGACCCGAGCACGCCAAGTTTTTGTAAGTTGTTTTGGTCTTAATTTTTTTAGTTCTAAATTTACTTGGAACTTATTTTGAAAATCATTTTTATTTTGTCGAGAATCTAATACATAAATGCAAGATTGAATTTGTGACAAATATTTCAAATTACAAATCCCTATCAATTGCTTCAATGTACTTGGCTAATTAATCATTGGTTTCATATTTAGTTTTTTTTTAGGAAAATTATATATTTAGGAAAATTATTATATATATTTTTTGAGGGATAATTTTTATAAATTATTTCTTATAAGGGTATTTTTTATTAAACGTTTTGTTGCATACAAGGTGGAATATTTTTTATGTACTTGGCGTATTTTTTACGTTTGTAAGGTTTTTTTTGGAAGGTTTTACAGCTTTTTGTTAAAATTTATTTATATTCCTGCAAAAAAATATATATGCATTTTTAGCACTTCTAGGCCAACTACACTTTTGTACTACTAAATCATTATTAATTGTCATCCGGTATATTACTATATATTATACGTCAAAATTATTCAATTAATTAAGTTTTTATCATTACATATTTACTATTATAGATTTCATTATTATTGCATTATTATTTATTATAAAATAAAATTTTGTTTTACGTATGAAGAATCAAAGAAAATTTTAGAAGTTCAGATTTAATTAAAATAAAACATGCTGCATTCTGTCATTGTATTAGATTTCTATCTTAAATAAAATGAAATCGAAAACTGTACATTTTCAAGAATATTTTAAATTTATCTTGTATATCATTAGAATTGAAGCAAACTTTAATAACATGTTATTCGATGACGTCTATGTAAATTAAATGTTACAAGTTGCATATAAAATCAGTGTTACGTCAAATGTTTTTGTTCTATTAATCTTTTAAATATTGCGATATTACTTCTGTAAATTCCTTTGGTTCTATGTATTTTGTACAAACAATAACATTATATTTATTTATTTTTATTAAAATAAAATGTATATCTTTCCTCGTTGGAAATATGTTGGTCCTATTTCATTAGTCGATTACATATTATAGTTTTCATACTCTTAATTTTAATCACACTATACTTATTGTCAGTTTTATATCTAATTTTATATTTT